GTAACCCAAAAAGAGAAAGAATGCCCAGATGGTGATAGGCAGCTTCCTTTTGCCAGTTTTTAATGGAGGCTGTAGCACTTAAATTGACCACTCTCTATACATTTAGATGAAGATTGCTAAACTTAAACACTGATTATATAGAAAGGAGTTATTTGTGATATTTTATTCCAGATTTTATTTTTTTTTACTCATCATGATTAAGGTTTTTTAAATTTTATTTATATTAAAACAGGGCATTTGTTTTCTTACTCACTTCTCTTTTCCTAGAACCATGTGGTTAGGATTATGTGCAAAGCACACTGGCATGATAAACTAGTGTCCTCGCATTTTTACAAGCTGGGAGCCAAAGAAAAAATTTTTGTGGAAATGCTCTTGCAGTAAGTTAAAAACAGTCAGCTGTTCCCTTCATGTCAGTCCACAGCCATCATTCATAACATAATTGATATTCTGGTGCTTAGTTCCCTTCTTTGCGAGGAAAGCATGTCTTATGTAAAAGAAAAATAGAATTTAAAATATCTTTTTCACAGCTTTGCATTCATTATTTTTACATTCAAAAGAAAATAAGAATGTGATCTCGTTAGGTGGTGGAATGGTCATCACAGTAAAGTTGGTTATTAAGAGACCTTCTTCATATACTCTGCAAGGACTAGGTCAGCAAATTAAGATGCCAGGGTTTTCTGCAAACCAAGAGATTTTTCCTAGTTTGACAATATCCACAGGTAAGGCCAGCTGGACTTCTTTCTACTTTACACTAAACAAAAATACCCTGCTTTACTATTACACTGTGACATGCCAAAATTTAGCACCTCTCTTTGTTGCTGCACAAAACCAAAATAGCATTTGTTTTTATAAGAATCTACAAAGACAATGAAGAAGTTGATGTGATAAGATAAAATATTCTTTTTTAACTCAATATTTATTGTTTAGTTCAAAAACAAAATAGAACAGAAGGAGAAAAGGAAAAATATGTGGAGCGTGATTGTAAATGCTAGAACTATCACCAGTTATAATCACGTCCAAATTCTGAAATAATGTAGGGAGTATTTTTAGGTTAACAAGTTTTAAATCATCTAAAGCCAGCAAATGGGTACCAAAATGGATAGAATACAATGAAATGGGAAAGAGAATTCTTTTTTATCCTGAGATTGAATCTGAAAATGTATGGAAACTCAGAGGAAGTCTGTTCCAAGCCAGTTTTCTTCATCATCATCATCATCATCATCATCATCTTTGTGTGTGTGTGTATGTTTTAGTTTCTTTATTTCAAAATATTTACAGGGTTACAAATTTGAGGGGTACATGGATTGCTTTTACAATGCTTGAGTCAGGGCTGTAAGTGTGCCCATCACCCAAACAGTGTTCATTATACCTGTTAGGTAGGTTTTCACCCATCCCCTTCTCCCCATACCTCCTGCTTGATTTCCACTGAGTTTTACTTCCATCTGCGAACATGTGCTCATCGGTTAGTTCCAATTTAATGATGAGTACGTGTAGTGGTTGTTTTTCCATTCCTTAGATACTTCGCTTAGGATAATGGTCTCCAGTTCCATCCAAATTGTTGCAAAAGGTATTAATTCATACCTTTTTGTGGCTGAGTAGTATTCCATAGTATACATAACAACACATTTTGTTAATCCACTTATGAATTGGTGGGCAGTTTGGTGGATTCAACAACTTTGCGATTGTGAATTGTGCTGCAATAAACATTGGAATGCAAGTATCTTTTTAAGAAAATGACTTCTTTTCCCTTGGGTAAATACCCAGTAGTGAGATTGCTGGGTCGAATGGTAGGTCTACTTTTAGTTCTTTGAAGCATCTCCATACTGTTTCGCGTAGAGGTTGTACTACTTTGCAGTCCCCCAACAGTGTGTAAGCATTCCATTCTCTCTGCATCCACACCAGCATCTATTGTTTTTGGACTTTTTTTTAATAAAAGCCATTCTGTATGGGGTAAGGTGATATCTAATTAGAGTTCTAATTTGCATTTCCCTGAAGATTAGTGATGTTGAGCATTTTTACATATGTTTATTGGCCATTTGTCTATCTTCTTTTGAAAAGCTTCATTCATGTCTTTTGCCCACTTTTCAATAGGGTTCTTTGCTTTTTCTTGTTGATTTGCTTGAGTTCTTTGTAGATTCTGGTTTTACCCTTTATTGGACATACATCTTGGGAATATTTTCTCCTATCTAAAGGTTGTTTATTTGCTGTGTTGATTATTTCTTAGCTGTGCGGAAATTTATGACAAAAATTAATAAATGGGAATTCATCATCTTTTTAAAACAATAGGAGTTAATATATTACCCTTTCTTTTACTCTAGTACTTTGATTTTTTAAAACTTAGATTTTCTGAGACAGACCATTTTTCTGAACTTGGTGAAGTCAGAATTTGTTTATTCATTGAGCATGACTTGGATTTGTATGCAGAAGTCTTATTAGTTAAGCTTGTTCTCTTTATGAATAAGACCTCAGAAAAATGCTGGATGGTGGGGCAGGACCAATGGCACCCGCTATGGGCCTATGCCTTAGTTAACAGTGAAAGGAAAACTCACTCTTAGGGGACTAAATCAATGGATGACCTTGACCTTATTTGCACAACTTCCTTTCCTAATACCCTACTTAGCACTTTTCTAAAATGGATGTCAAGCCTGGGCCTGTTTTATTTTGTTGGGTTTGTTTTTCTTTTCTTTTTTTCTATTAGTCATGTTTGCAGCACTTTACTAAAAACCTGTACTAAGACACCGCTACTTAAAACTGTATTTGCCAATATTTTGTTTATAGAAATTACATAATACTGTAGAAACTGACAGACTGTCTTGACACTTGACTATCCTCTAAATTCCCTGATTTTATTACACTACATATTAAATAATCTTATTAAAAAGTAAGCATCTTAACCAGGAAATAGAATTTCAAAGAACATTTAATATAAAACTAAAATGTACCTTAAACATTAAAATAATTTTGCCTTTATATGATTTCCAATATAAAGCAATAAAACAAAAACTTTGATATTTGTGTTCATGTCATGTCAGTGTCATGATTGAAAAGTAAAAATTTCAGTCTTTATTTAATAGATTGGAAAACAAACAAACAAAAAATCTGGAAGCGAGTATCACACACCAGATATTTGAATCATTTTTTGTTGTTTATTTTTAGAATAAATTCTGGCAAAACAAGTATTGGATAAAGATGTTATTGCCTACATTTATCCATGAGCTATTTTCTATTATATGCTAATATCAGTTCAGTTAATGTGCCTGTGTTGATATTGCAGTTTCCAGCTAATATATTTTAAGCAAAATTGATGATTTTTAATTCAATAATAACTTTATTTATTTTAAAAAAGTACATGTTGCACCTATGGAAATGGTTCATTTATGGTTGGTTTTGCTCTCAAATTTTTATACTTGCTGTTGTTTTGTTCTCCATAAACACTTTTGATCAAATGACCCCTTAATAAAGTATAGTTAATTAAACAAAATATAAGGATGAGACTAGTGTGTTGATATGGATATAATTTACTACTGAAAAATTTTGAGAAGTACTGAAACCTTGCTCTTGCCCTAGTCCCCTAAGACAGCTTTCCCTTCCACTTCTTACCTGGCTGTCAGGCCCTGTGTCTCAAATAGCACCTTGAATTGTCCATTAGATACTAATAATAGCTTAACCCTCACACACTTATATTGATTATCTATAGGAAATACAAACAAAATCTGCTTGTATATATGTCTTTTTTTGTTGTTGTTGTTGTTGTTTTTTTTTTGAGACAGAGTCTCACTGTGTTGCCTGGGCTAGAGTGCCATGGCATCATCCTAGCTTACAGCAACCTCAAACTCCTGGGCTCAAGCGATCCTCCTGCCTCAGCCTCCCAAGTAGCTGGGACTACAGGCATGCACCACCATGCCCGGCTAATTTTTTCTATATATTTTTAGTTATCTGATTAATTTCTTTCTATTTTTAGTAGAGACGGAGTCTTGCTCTTGCTCAGGCTGGTCTCGAACTCCTGAGCTCAAACAATCCGCCCGCCTCGGTCTCCCAAAGTGCTAGGATTACAGGCATGAGCCACCACGCCCGGCCTATATGTCTTTATGCATGCACACATATATGTCCACACATGGAAATATGATTAGCTGAATATATGAAAATGTATAAATATTTTATAGATATAGGAAAATAAAAGAGAAGTTTTGCTAAATGTTTACGTTTAGCAAACCTTAGCAAATTACGTTAGCAAATCTCAACAAAATTCGTATTCACATCCTAAACAGAAGTACAAAGTGATTAAATCACAATGAACTTTGCCTAATATGCAGCTCCCAAAAGAACCTCTCTTCCAATGATCAGCGTTTCTACTTAACATTTCTAAAAGTTAGCATTTCAATAAATTACCATAAACTATCATCATTTGCAATAAAATATGAATGTGCTATAAATAAAGCAAATAAATTGCAGATTTTAGTTGCATAAATTTACATTGTATTTCTTTAAGGAAAGCAATTAAGGTATTAGAAATACTAAAGGCAGTCATGACAAATCGATAATATATTTGGTAGAACTAGGGTATCTTTAGGTGAAATTTCATGGCTATTTCCAATAGACTTTTTAAAAATCTAAGTTCACATCAGTATATAGAAATAGAACCTTTTATAATTGTTAAAAAGAAAACAAATAAGTTTTTTTAAAATAATTGCTTAGGAAGACCATACCAGCAACATGTAATAGCAATGTTCATTTTATAGAGGGCAATGAAAGATTTTTAAAAACTCTTTGCTCAGAACATGGCAGTATTACTGAGTTTGTCTCACATCCTATAAATGCTTCCAGTGGGAGGGAACCTGCTCCCCTGTGATTTTGTTTTCCCCTTTGAATGATAGTGATGGAGCACTTGCATGATGTGTTTGGTGCCTTGCATGAGGAAGACATGCAAAGGCAAGGTCCAGTCTGCATGCTGCTTAATGAATGTTTTTCCTTTTCTCTCCCTCCTTGTCATGTGCTTTCAGAAGACAACAATGTGGAAGGTGGGTGCTTTCTACCTTATTTTCCAACTCTCATTTGCCTTTTATTTCTTAGTATTAATAGAGTACATCTCGAATTTAGACGGTAAGTTTTAACTTCTTTCTGACCATTTGTTAATTTCTGGATTGTGTATCACTTTTCATATAGAACACATGTACACTCTCTACCCCATTAGCCCCAAGTATATGAAACTCCCATCTTAACTTCAACCCTTGAGGAATTTCTTTAAAAAGAAAACAAAGAAGATTTTTAAAATAACTGCCATAGAAAGACCATGCTAGCAACATGTAATGGCAATGTTTGCTTTATAGAGGACAATGAAAGATTTTTGAAAACTCTTTGCTCAGGACATGGCAATATTACTAAGTTTGTCTCACATCCTATAAATGCTTCCGATGGGAGGAAACTTGCTGCCCTGTGATTTTACATCCCATATGAACCTTAAAATACTTATTGGAGTGTTCTGTATGGAAAAATGATACAGTGCTGCTTTTTTTATTTTAAAAGAGAAAGTATTTCTTTGCAGTTTTAGAACACAGTGCATGATCCTTTCTTCATTTTTTCTGTATCAAAATGATTTCTTTTCTGTTGGAAATGTTTAGCATTATATCATTTCAAGCCCATTGGTTTGTTTCAAATGATTTGGTTCATAAGAAGAAAGCAATAAAATACTGACTATAAGTAAGAGACATAAATTTAGATTAAAAAATATGCCACTGGCCAGTGGAAATGAAGGCTTACAGCACTCCGATGTGATTATTGGTAAGTATATTTGTAATATTCTGTGTCTGCTAAATAAAACTGTGAAATGTTATTTAAGTTTTTCTAAAATTATCTCTGTCAAGGATTTTTGAGAAACTTGTACATTTTTCTGTGGACTCCAATAAACTAAAACATTTCAACATTATTATTTTTAAAGAACTTAAATGTCTTTATACTGCCAGACAAATCTTTAGAGGATAAACATGCAACAAAACAAAACTAGATATTGCAAAAGAATAACAAAAGGGAAGATTTTATCAATTTATATAACCACAGCATTAACAGTTCTTATACAATTTACTAATATTTGTATCAGAAGAAAGCATTTAGCATACTTTATTTTGCAACTGTATTTTGAAATGCAGTCATTCTGTAGAACTGTGTACAGAATGAAGGATTTTCTAGAAAAAGACACCCCACCAAGGTTACAGATAAATAGTCATTAAGGTTACCAAAACTTTGTGTCACAAAACAAGAACACTTCATGGTAGTACAAAGTTAATAAGTAGTTAATAAACTACTTATTAACTACGTATTTGTGATTCTTTCACAGGCTATATTATAATTGCTTAGCTAGTGAACATTTGTTTCATTATTTAAATAAAACATTAAAATTTCAATGGAAATCACAAATTACTGTTTTTCCAAGTGTTGTCTCCATGTATGGCTTCTGTTTTTCTATACTATAATTTTAATTGCATGTGAGTATATGCTTGATAAAGATGATATTACCATGCAGGTCTGATATCTTTCAGAATCAGTCTCATTTATATTGTGCATGTTAATAGAGCTTGAAAGTTATTTTTAAAAGGTATCTTTTCAACTTCTTTTGCATTTCCTTAACCATTCTGTAAAATGTTTCATGTTTTTTGTTCTTTTTTCTGACAATCCAATTGCATTCCAAGGGGCTTTAAAATTAGCCTAATTAGCATGAATGCCTCTCTCTTCTCACACACACTCATCTCATACAGTTTTCATAAGATTTTCAGATAGGCCCATAAACTATTATAATAAAGTGTATTCAATCATAATCTCAACATTCATATTTATAATGTGACTTTGACAGTATAGCTGTACTCCTTTAGAGATAGGAAGTCTAGCAGGAGGAATGTGAATATTTGTGGGATTTATTAATTTCTATCCATATTGATGCTGTGTCAAAACCATTAGAAGTACCAAATATATTTTCTAAAAGTTAGATCTTATCAGAGATAATTTCCTGATTTAGTCTACAAAAAAGTTATAGACTGTTATCTGGTAATATGTATAGTAGTTTTAAAAATGAAATTAAATGAAAAAAATGTAACCTGGACAAATAAGCCGCTATTCTTCAGCATAAGAAACATCATGAATCATCAACAGATAATAAACCTTTTAATTTGCCTATGTGGATTTTTTTTGTTAAAATCGCTCAGAAAAGGGAAGCTACATTACGGAAACATCAAACTACTATGTTAAATAATTTTTGTATTATATTGTGATTACATGATGATTTCTAATTATATCTGCCCTACAGGGATATTTGAATATCCTTGAAATTTTAAGGAAACAGCACAGATGATTTCAACACTGATGCAACCAATACATAATGTCATGTAGCATAAATAAAATCTCAAATATATCTGGAATAGCACTGGTAATTGAAAATACAAATTTACTAAAATTTATATATATACTATATTGCTATAATATTTTCCTGAACTCTTGAAATATGTAATACATGGACTGAGAATTAGCTTTATTGCTGATTTGGAATAAAGAACTAGGAATTACGCTTTTTAGTAATAAGTAGTTTCTTGGACAGTGAAAGAATTTTTAAAAGAACATTAGCAGTATTCTTTACAAAAGTAGTGATCTTCAATTTGAAGTTAATTATCAATCAGGAGATGATAAATAATTTAAACAAAGGGAATTCAATATTCTTTTAGAAAAATTTCTCAATGAAATTGTATCTGTAATATTTTTCTTAAATAAATACACTTATAGTTCAGCATTTACGTAATGCTTATGTAAAATGCGAAATAATTTTGTTTTCCTAGGAAAATTATTTGAGCCTATTTAAAGCTGATCCATTGTTTCTTAAAAATATTATTCTATAGTAAATTCTAAATTTACAACTGCGTGTCTAATGATCTTTTTTGTATTTCAACAAGTCTAGTTGTTACATTTGTCAGATAAGGAGACATTTCTGCATTATCATTTCAGTGTGACTAGGATGTTTTTTTTTTTCTTTCCATTGAATTATGAAAATGCTCATTTTTTGATGAGGGGAAAAAGATCAGACCCAGCCCATGTTTCAGATATTCCTTTGGGTTTTAAACAATGTAATATTATCATTGAAGAATGACTAGCCCTTTCTGGGCATGTTCAAAACAGTCTTATCAAAGGGCACGAAGGGCAGATGTAATATTTAAGGGATTGGTTGGAGATTAAGTCATGCTCTTATGCTCTTGATTGTTCCAACTGATACGTAGAGGAAATACACAGTGCAGCATATGCCATTGTTTAAATTGCAGTTCTATAACTCTTTGCCCCAAAGCATTCCAACCAGGAGTTGAGTGAATGCTTTTTGATTTGCCTCTGTGATACAGACATGTCTCATAGGAAACAAGATGTCTGTCACTGAACATTTTTGTCACCGTGACAACCCTGCCTTCCCATGCTCCCTTGTTTATTGCTGACTGTGCTCTTGTTTCCCTTCAAGGTCTGGCGCACCTGATGATGGGCGACCAAGGTATGGGCTCTGTTCCTTTTCCACTCTGCTTTCAGTGTTTTCTCGTTCTGTAGCTGCTTTCAAACCATCACTGCAAAGGATGGGCAAATGCTTGCAAACTATCTGGCTGCAAATTAAATACATAACTTTTGTTCACATTTTTCATGTGTTTTTCTCCCTTTTATTTGTTGGTTTGATTTTGGTTTGCTCCTGTGACATTTATTTTTCTTCATTCCTTGCACTATAATATCTGCAAATAAATGAGACATAAGATTGTGATTGAAAAATTTGATACATTTATCAGCATATGCAGTTAAGGGTGGTTATAGTAAAGAAAAACCGACACCCATTGGAAGTTGATATCTGAAAGAAGACGATCAATTTAACTTACTGTACCAAAAAGTGTCCATTTTTCATCCATGCATGGCAGTTTGGGAACATACCAACATCTTTGGCTTCTGGCTTCTAGAATGCTGAGTGTAGTGTTCCATGGAATCAGTATTTTTTCTACCTACATTCATTGTGTATCTCTATTTTGTATAATCTTTTAAAGTGAGCATGGACCTTCCAATTTCTTGCATGTACTTGCCTTAAAAAAGGGCACAATTTCCAACATGAACTGATTACATCTCAATTTGTCTTCAAAACCTTATTTATACTTTCTTGTCTTATTTAATTTTCAGAGAGTAGTGCATTTACATGTATTCATAATTCTTATTGTTGTTTTTCTCCTCTTTATCCTCTTTGTCTGGAAACCCTTTCTTCATGGACCCATTTCATCAAATCCATAGGTAAAAGTAAAGGTATTACATTATTTTATTTCTTCTTAATATCATCTATATGAATTATAGTGTGTCAAAGTTATGAAAATGTATTTAGATCTTTTGGCATTGGTTTTGGGCACTGGGAGGTAGGTATATATGTTAATGAATATTTTATGATTTTAAGGTAAGAAAAATTTATCAAAATGTTTTTCACCCCACTTTTTTGCCCTTTATATGATTTTTTTGTGTTAGCTACTTACATAATTAGTATATTTAGAAATTAGCTATAGATTTTGGTATCATTATTTGCTGTGTTTTTTAGTGGTAGCTAAATGCTTATAGCAACCATGAATAAGTCATCCACAAACATTTAACTCTGGAGTACACCTGCCCCAGCCATTCTGTATTGAGACGTAAGTCTAAGCATGTGCAGCACTGAAATGGTACTGTGTGGGCTCATCACCTTGTCGTCTGCTAGCTGTCATATGTACACATTAACTCCATGGTAACCTAAAAAGGCAGTATTGTGAAAGGGAAAACAGCCGAGCAAGACAAATCCATTCTTTCTTTATGCATACTAACTTTGTTTTAAGAACATTATCAACTAGCTATGCATTCCCTCATCACTTGGTAAGTCAGGCATGTGTACTCTTCAATGGTGTTGGTACAAAATTCAGAAGCATGTTCAATTTGTTGTTTAAAACCATCCACATTGTGTTTAGTGTTGTCATTAAAAGGAAGTAGATGATATGCAGCAGTGACAAATGTATAGAATAGTCTTTAAATTAATCATTTTAACTGTGTATCAGTGAATATGGCTTTGGTTTCTATCTTTTTAAAAATTGTTATTTTAAATGCAGGAACGTGTCTTACTCTTTCTTACGCTCTCAATGTTATCAGGTGAATTGGGACAAAAGCTCACAGTTAACACCTTTACATTGTGTCATCTAGCAGGGAAACTTTCTGCTTGAAAAAGCACCTGAACGTGAGCCAGGAAATAAGTTAGAAATGGTATCAAAGTTTCAAATGTATAAAACAGAGCTTTAGAAACAAATGCTATTTGGATACTTTGAGCGAATAACATATGCTACCACAGTTTTTGTTTTGGTCAACCATTTTCAATAAAATAATTTAATTTCATTTTAAGCCTCTAGCAATTGTAGAAATGACAATATGTATCAATTATTTGAGCGATTTTGTGTTCCGTTTGGAGTGCCTTCTAAACGTTTTTACTTGAGGCCAAATTCCTATCCACTGCCCTCCCTTAAGTGAGCATTTCCCATCATGATCTTTAATACATGGACTTAGTGCTCAGGATCACATGGAGGAAACTATATTTGTATTCTGTATTACTAGCTGAGTAAAGTATATATGTATGTTTGTATATGTGCATGTATATATCTGTATGAATGCATGTATATGCACATTTCTAAGTAGACATACTCAGATTTGTTATTTGGTGAAAAAGTAACTCAAAATAATTTTCAAATTACACAACCATTTGATTCTACATACGGAATAGTTCATGTTTCTACTAAGCTGATACTTGTTTTGGTATGATTAATGTTAAGTGTCACTTTACTTCATTCAGTTTTACTACATCAGCCTAAAATATTTGTTTTCTTTTGGCATGTGTGTCAAACATATTTTTACTCCACCAGTTTTCATCAGATTTTGATCCTCAATCAGCACAAAG